CTTGAATTCCACCAATAACGCTGCAGTCTTGGGGGAACTTGCAGCTTTCCTGGGTGAGCTGGCGGTCCCTTGGCTTGTCGTTGGCGATTTCCAAGTGCCCCCTGCACAGTGGCAAGGACATCAGTTGCTCAACGTCCTCAAAGCCGAGGTGGTCAGTGCAGGACAGCCTACCATGATAAATGGGGCGGAAATTGACTACGTGGTGGCCAGTCGTGCCTTGACCCCTTTCATTGACATCAAGGTCAACTGGGATGTGCCGTGGAAGCCTCATGCGGGCCTCGTGATCACCATCGACAGTTCTGCCCCTTGGCTTCATTTGCCGCAGGTGACACAGTATGCTGCCATGCCCAAACTGCAGCACGCTGCCAAACCATGGGAAGAATTCCGGGCGGCGCCAAAACCCTACTGGCTGGGGCGCACCATGGGTCCCAAAGAACTGCAATGTGCAGAGTGGTGTCACAAAGCAGAACAATATGCACTGCAAAACCTGGCAGAGCCTCGTTGTGGCAGAGGGTGGTATCTGGCGATTGAGCTCAAGCCATTGCCCATGACTCGGCCCCTCACCCCGTGGAGGAAAGGAGATTTGGCATACTGGGGCCAATTTTGCTCCCTGCTGTCCCACATTGAGCGCACAGGGCGCCTGAGTCACAATGTCATGCTGCACTTAAGGGCCAAGGCGGCTGACTTGGCGATGCGCTGGCAGAATGTGCATGGGGATGCTGCTTTCAGAGAAGCCCTGGAAGACCTGCTCTCGGGCATTTCAATGCCCTTGACCCTCCTTATAAAGGGAGCCGAGGCCAATCGGGACTTTGCCAAGAAACTTGCCATGCAGCAGCAATCTCAGGATTATCAGGCATGGCTGACTCAAGCGGCCTTGAAGGGGCACAGTGGCATTTACAAGTGCCTGAAAGCACCAGATGCAGTGCATGTTCGCCCTTTCCGCAATGTACCAGTCCAAGATCGGCAGCAGCTGCGAGAGCAACAATGGTACAGCAAATGGCAGGTCATTGACAAGCCAGCCACATCGGGTGAACGAGAACGGCTCCGATGGGAAGGCATTGTGCAGGCCCGGCAATGGGCAGACCTCGATCCACACCAGGTCATGAAGCAGCTTGCCAAGCTGCCACAAAAGGCCAGTGGCCCTGATGGCATCAGCTATGCCCTTCTCAAGAATCTCCCACTGGAAGGAGTGATTGACCTGTGCCACATGTACCGGCAGTGGGAACTGACGGGCCGTTTGCCTGAGCAAGCCTGCACAACGTTGGTGGTTTTGCTTCCCAAGAAAGAGGACATTGAGAGGCCCATCAGTCTGACTAGTGTCCTATATCGTACTTGGTGTAAACTGAGATGGGACAAGCTCAAACATTGGCAGAGCATTGTTGGTCAAAGGCTCCCTTGGGAACGCAGCATGCCGGGTATGCAGGTCCTCTACGTTGCCCTGATGAGACTGCTAAAGTGTGAAGTCGGCCGTGCCACAGGGCGCCATGTCGTTTCCCTGCTTCTGGACTTGCAGTGCTTTTATGATTCTGTTGAACTGGAGCAGCTCCTTGATCTGTGGGAACCTCTCAACTTCCCACCCGCAATCTTGAATGCGGTCTATGAAGTGTACTCGGGGCCTCGCCTGCTCCAAGGGGAACAGATCACCTCCAGGCCAGTCCACTGCAGGAAAGGCATCTTAGCCGGATGCCCAGTGGCCCCGCTCATTGCCAAATTGGTGTTGGCCCCTGTCATTGGCCAGTTCACTGAAAAGTTCCCCAAGGCCTCAGTTGATGTGTGGGTGGATGACATCTCAGTGGACTTCACGGGTAGTGATGCAAATGTTGTCAGCAGGGAGGCGCTGGATGGGTATGAGGAGCTGAAGCAGGGTCTCGAATGCATTGGTCTGCAATTGTCCAGCTCCAAAACTGGCTTCCTGACGTCAACAGCTGAGTGCAAGCGAGCCCTGAGCCTTTTCAGGCGTGATGAGCAGCCTGAGGTCCATGAGCTTCTGAAGGATCTTGGCCTGGATTCAAGCGGAGGCCGCCGGAGACGCATTGGGGCTCAGCAAAAGCGCCTATTGAAAGGCAGAGGTCGTCAAGCCAAACTGCTTCATCTGAAACTCCGATCCAGACCAGTGAGGATTCGCATCTGGAAGACCTCTGTGCATGCAGCAGCTGGCTACGGGCTGGAAGCGCAAGGGATTGCGCCACAGCGCCTCCGCACCTTGCGACACCAACTTGCACGTCATGGTGGGCTCCAAAAGGGAGGAAGCGTGGACATTGTCTACGATCAACATGTCAAGCTCCAGGATCCCAAGGACACCATAGTTGAACGACAGATGAAAGCCATGCACAGACTCATCCAGGTGTGGCCACCGTCGCAACAAGGTGAGCTGCGTGCTGCATGGCGTATCTCCTGGAGGCGCCTACGTGCTGCTGCCTACCCATGGATGGTCGTTGCCGGGCCTATGGCTGCCCTCCAGGCCTACTTGATGGACATGGGCTGGGATGCAGAGGATCTAGATGACTGGATCAGAGCTCCTACTGGAATCATGCCACCACAGCAACTGAACATAGGCCATCCCTGGCCGCATTTGCAGCGTCAACTCCAAGCTGAACAGCGCTTGCAGCGTGCCAGACGCATCCAGGAGCTGGAGCATTGCTTCCCGTTGATGAGGAAGCCTGACTGGACGGTGTACCATCGTGTGATGCGCAAGCTCAAAGGAGTGGCCCGGTCAGCTGTGGATGCATGGACGCAAGGCTCACTGCGTACCCGCATTGGGGGAGACCGTGTGATGTGCCCACTGTGTCAAGTCCAGGTGACCATGAAACATCTCATTTGGGAGTGCCAATATCATGAGCATGCTTTGCCGCCTTCCTGGGCTAGAGACATTCAGGCCAATGAGCACACCATGCTGTGTTCGCGAGGACTGGTTGAGGTGCCGGATCACAGGATCACTGTGGGCTTGGATTCACTGGAAGTCCATGGTGTGTTTGCTCATGGGTGGCCCATCCGTGTCCCACCCAGTCAGCGGCTTGCCATTGCTGTGCGTCCCACTTGCAAGGAGCCCCGCCTGCGGCATTTTGTTGTCTCCATCATTGTGGGAGCGTGGCAGGATGACTCGTGGCAGCTCACGGGCAAGTGCACATGTGTTGCCCCTGGCGAGGCCACGGAAGCCCGAGCATGGTTCTTCGGCTGCTGGCTGCTGCTTCAAGCCACCCTTGGCCATCACCAGGTCAATGTGGCGCATCGAGCTGGATGGACAGCGCTCAACAAAGGAGGCAATGGCACGTGTGCTCCTGATCTATGGCATAGTCTGCCTGCAGAAGAATGGAAGCGGCTGAAGATCCTCCATGTTCCAAAGAAGATGCTACGTGCCACTGGTGATGATAGGAGGGCATGGCTTCAGTTTCAGGAGGCTGACATGTGTGCACAGAACAGGGCGGTCAGCCTTGCCCCTGCGGAGGAAGTCAGGCAGCTGCATGATGATGATCAATGGCACCAACAAGTCTATGAAGTGGCGGCTCAAAGGATCAGCATGATCCTCACTGACACAGAGCACTACATGCATGGAAAAGTTGAGCCTGTGCCCACCCCTTACAAGGTCAAGGCTGAGAGACCGAAAGGGCGCCTTGACATCCTGCGTCGGTTGACCCAGCAGGAGCGCAGGGAAGGGCAGCACACATGGGCTCTCCACGGGCAAGGCATCAAATGTCAAACTTGTGGCCTCCACATCAAGAGCTGCTCCACTCATGAGGAGATTGCGCGGAAGCAGGCCACGAGCTGCAATGGAGAGATGAGCCGCACCCTCACCCAAATCAAGTTGGATATGGTGGAAGCCACTGAGGCGCTGGATGACGCTCAGCCTGGGCACAGGTGGTTCAGCAGGCCCAGTTCCTTTGGCTGTTACCGCTGCTGGCTGAAAATTCCCGGGCGCTCCAGCAAAGAGGCGGTGCAGCAGCTCAGTGCAAAGCCTTGTGAGCATGGCCCGGTGGACGTGCAGACTTTGGAGCTGAGAACGAAGGCCAACTCGCAACATGTCTTGTGGAAGCGAGGTGACTGGTTGGAGTGCCAAAAATGCCACCGTGTGACTAAGATTGTCCACGGACGGGCCCAGTCTTGGCTGGCTGGAGAGTGTGCTGGCACCAAGAAACAGAGCAAGCTGCGATTTGGGCCGAGCTCTGAAAGCTAGAGGCCGAGTTCGGTAGCAGTTGTGAGATGCTCTCTTGAGAGAGCTTGGAGTACAAGGCGAATGAGCCTTGCTCCCATGTGTACACCTAGCCACTTTTGCCTTGTTGGTGTGGCTTGGGACTTGGCAGACTGAAAAGAACCGAGCAAAAAAAAAAAGAGAGAGAGAAGGGGAGACAGACAGACAAACAGACAGACAGACAGACAGAGACAGAGAGAGAGAAAGGGAATGAGAGAGAGAAAGAAGAGAGAGAGAGAGAGAGGAAAAAGAAAGAGAGAGAGAGAGAAGGAGAAGAAGAAAGAGAGAGAGAGAGAGAGAAGGAGAAGAGAAAGAGAAGAGAGTGAAGTTTCAAGGTGAACTCTCACAAACCAAAGTTGTCAAACAAAACTGCTCTAGTCCAAATCAAGACTCTCCAAGTGAAATCGGGTTGAAGTATTTGTTTCTTTCAAGTAAGTGATCAGTGAAACCCTCAGAGAAATCCCTTAGTGCTCTACAGTGAAGACAGTCCTTGTCATCAAGTCTCTCAAGCTGTGCAAAGTTTTAAACATTGTAAGTGATTTTTCAAGAAACCTCCAAGTGTGTTTAATAAAAAACCTAGGCTAGAAAACATAAGCTTAGGTTATTCCTAAAAAGGCTAGGTTATGGTTAGGTTAAAGTTCTATGTTCTAGGTTATTCCAAGAATAAACTATCTAGGTTAACATAACCTCTGTTTTCAAACAACCTAACTAATGTTTTTTAACCTAACCCGATCTATAGGGTAGAAGAGGAATTTCATCCTCATGTGGAAAATACCTTCTCATTCCGGACCGATTGATCGCTTGGACTCTTTCTTCAAGGCCTCGGTCCGGACCGGTTCGCACTGCTCCGAACCTCCTCGCTGTGCTTCAAGGCCTCCTCGGCCTGGAAGCGAACCGACCCGGCGCGAGCTCGGACGCATCGCAGGCGTCGAAGGACGCGTCTGAACGAAGGATCGGAGGCGAACGTAGGGAGACACGAGCAATGAAGGATATGGGACACCATATCCTAAACACTCCATGGGACTGATACATTGACCACCCCATTGGGGTGGTGCCAGAGGGGTCTTTCTGGGGCAGAGAAGCAGATTAGGACAGAGATGGAGTGTTGGGGTATAAACAAATATTATAACTTGCGATGACGACCCCCAAACAAATATATAGCTGTTTGGAAACCTTGATCATACGGTCGCCATACGGTACTGTATCAATATAGTAATATATGGTTCATTATGGTTCGGTATTCTGGTATGGTTTTTGTTTCGATGATGTTTTGGAGGCTCACAAGAAGCTCCTTCTTAATGCAAGAACGCAACAAAAATGTTGGAAACATGTCTGGCTCCCAACTCAGCATGCCACTCACCAAACTAGTAAAACTATGCTGTCTTTGTCACTGTCACTGCGTGCATGTCAAAACAAACCCCATACAGGATAGGGCTCACGCATGACGTTGCGCAATTTTGCAGGGGGCTTCTTTTCTGAACAGTGGTGATCACAGTGCTAGCTTGACGCTTGACGTGCACTCATACCTGCAACGACCATATATAACAAGGTGCTCATACTGAACCCTAGAATCCACCGGCCCTTGGGCGCCGGCGTGTTTTATCAATGTGGCTTGTATGTAGCTTAAGTTATGTTGAATCTATATGTAATAAGAAAAGTGTCTCTGGAGCAAGTTTTTGCCTCGTCTAACTTGACCCCCCCCTTCCCCCCCCTCCTCCCCCCCCAAGAACATCCCGAATGTATGTAGCTCACATATATCATAGCTAAAGTGAAAGGTTGTGTGCGCTTCCTTCTTATCGTCGTTCTTCTCTTCCATGCATTGCGCTTCTGCTTTCCATGCGTTTTTCTCAGGTTTTGCACCTGCACTCACGTATCTATCGTTTTTTTTTGCAGACTCAGACTGCTTGGAAATCCCCATGCCACACATGTCCTCATTACTCTCTTGTATCATGTCTGACGGAATGCTATGTACGTTTGCTGCTTCGCACGGTCTACGTCACTCATTGTGTCACATGTTATGTAATTTGTCTTCTTGCTTGGCAGGCTATACTTTGCATCTCCCAATTTCATCTCCCTGTTCTCTTATTGTATCATAATGCACGTCATTTCATGTAGGCTCCTCTGTTGCTCCAGCTGTGTTCTGGATGATGCTGTTACTTTTTCTGCTCTGTTGCAGTCTTTCCTCTCGACGCAAAAGGTAATCCGCATCTTGGGACCATTGGCTGAAAAGGCCGGCGGAACCACCCGCAGGGTGTAAATAGCTAAGGATTCATGTCTTAAATCCCCAATGTTTTAAAGCTGCGCCATAGAACGCCCACATAAAGCATCATGACATTGGGCAACACTCCAATAAAATATAAAAACAAAAACTTGAGAACGCAGCACCAGCGCCTGCTCTTCTTGGATGTGCTTTTCTGCCACTGTGAAGAAGAGTGCCGCCTGGGCCACGAGTCCGAGCTCGCAACATGGGCGCTGCGACCCCATGTTGCGACCCAGCGAAACCCCTGGGGCAACGCCCTGGGAACGAAACCGTGAGATCAAACGGCAACGACCCAGGTTGACCACGGAAAAGCCACCCGACTGAGAAAACCAAGACGGAAGGACGTCGACCGGGACTTAGGAGCTCAGCTCAGCTCGTCCCAACCGGTAGGCGGGTTCGGGGTTCGGGGGGGATGAGGCCACACCCACAGCTGTAGAAATACCATCACCGGAAAAAAAATCCCTGTTTTGGAGTCAAAACATGGGTGTTCAATGGTGTTCATCTATCCAAAGCAAAGGTGATCATACAGGTTCTACAGGTAATGTTCTGGACATAAGCATGTTTTTTTCAGCTCTTTCTTTTTGGCACCAGCTCTCGAGCGAGAAAAGCTCCGATATTCCGAGCCCTCTCCGCGATGGGCCGATGGAACCCCGGCCGACCTGAACGCCTTCGTCTGCGTCCCCAAGGAGTCCCCATGTCATCGCCCGAAGAAAGGATAACATGTTGATCTTTTTTTTGTTTATATACCAAGGTACATGTAGCATCAATGGTAAATCAAGGTACATCTAGCATCAAGGGCTTGATCTGTTCAAGGTACATGTAGCATCAGCTATATACCTCAAACCAAAAGATTTCAGATTTACATGCTCAACTTGTTCAACACATTACATCCCCCCTTCTGACAACAACACAAGTTAGCTGCTATAGCTGATAAAGCTGGTCCTAGCACAACCAGTCTAACTTACCCTCCTGAAACAATCCTGGAATTGGAAAAACGGCCTGTGAGCAAAGGAAAAACAATGAAAAAAATGTCTTCCTTTCGGGGCCATGTTCCACTTCCATGGTTTCTTGCATGGAGGATGGAGGGTATTGTTTTGGCAAAAGAAAACATGTTTTGCCAGCATCGTCACCACTCGCCTCGCGCTCCTTGTCCGACAAGTTGGGGTCTTTCGAGCGCTGTTCTGGCGACGTGGTAGGGATGTTTGGGGGAGGAAAAGGATGAACACGTCCGGTGATCTATGTTTGGTGGTCTATTGTGGTCCATGTCTATGTTTGGTGGTCTATGGAAGGATGTGGCTTAGACATCTTTTGACCAAAACTTACAAGGTTCCTATAGCCAAGCTAGCAAGTTAGGTCCTAACAGAACGCCATCTCAAAGGAAGCAAGTTCGACTACATCTTTTTCCAATGCACATGTCATTGGTGCAAGGGTCATTTCTGGAACGGTAAATGGATAGATTTCAGTTTGGGGGGTCATCGGTCTTCTTCTAGCTCACTGTCATCTTCAAAACCCTTCTGTCTGGCATGAACAGTCCTTTCACTTCCAGAGGCAGAATATTAAAGTCTTACAAGCATGGACATCAGTCTGCAGCTGTAGCCTTCACATCCAACAAGCAAACGAAGGAACAAAATGCAGTTCCAGAACATATGCGGTCACACTCCCCCTGCTTGTTCTCTGTCATTCATTTCCGAACGAGGGTTGCTTTCTCCTCCAAACGCCTTGGAGTAACCAGTTCACGTAAGCACATGCGTCGAGAACCCAATCTATACCTCTTGAAGCAAGTTCCCAGCCCTTCAAAGCTGGGGGTGTTGCTTTTAACTTTTGTTCAGTAGTATCTTAATGTACCAAAAGCAGGAAGGCCCGATTTCACTCGCTCTGGAGTTGGAACATCGGCTATGTCCATGATCCACTCGCCTAGGGCATTCACCCCAACCAGGAATTCCTGATACAGTATATAGACCCCAACCACCCCCAAGCGTCGTATGGACCCAGCATATGACCCTCCAAGAGTGCCAGCTTTGAAATCGTGTTACTGTCTATCCTGGATTCCAGGCGCCAGTTGTGCCTCTTGAACTTCAGTGAACACTTGGATTTGGACGATTTGAATCTCAACAACCACTTGAAGCTCAGATCCAATTATGTCCAATTCTTGCCTTTGGTTTCGCTTCTGTGACCTGGCAAGCATCCACACCCTCATCCAGCAAGCACCCACGGCACATCCAACGGAGCGCACCATAGCGGCTGCCGAGGTTGTCACTTTTCACAGCCTCGGTCGTCCGGTCGAGGATTGCTTGGATGTTCTGATTAGACTTAGACTTCGGTCGTGGGGTTCGGGGGTGTTTTTTCGTGGCTCGGGGGTTGAAGGAATCGAACATAAGGAGTGTGTGCCGAAACAGGGAGGCTTCCCAGGCGTCGCGACGCGCTGGGTTCTGGAAACGGGAAAAGAGACCAGGAAATACCCAACCAGGGCGAGAGAATTAGGGAGTCTCCCTAAAATGCACTATATGGAACATGTGCGTTGCAAGATGTTGCAAGAGTGCAGTGTTTCGACTTACTGAGTCCTCTTATTACGGGTTCTATGTTCCCCGCAATGTTTTTTCCTGGGGTGGTTCGCTTTGGTTTGAGCTCCATTGACATATATCCAGTCGCCAGTCGCACTGCTCCCGAAATCTGATAAGCTGCTTGAGTCTCTCGGGACAATCCATGTGGCTGCGCAAATTCGTTGGATGATAGCTTATATTTTTTATATAAAATACTTTAAATTAATAGCTTACATACACTTACTATACCCAAAGGCAGGATCTTCAGTTCGGATTCGCTTTGAGCCTAGCTAAGGAAACCTCAAACATATGCTGTATGACTGTACTAATTAGATCTAGCTATAGTATGTATAGTTGCTTTTGCCATCCTTGACAGCAACCTCCAGCTCTTTGGGGAGTTTGCTGTGTTCCTTCAGTTTGATTATTTTTTCATGTGGTTTGCCTTTGTGTGCAGGTCACACTTTTGCTCCTCAGCTGTGCGCGTAGTAAATGAGAGCAACGAGGAACCTGGACCCTCTCATGTGGAAGATGATGGTTCAAATGCCTTGTTCAACAGTGATAACCGTTGTTTACTGCCTGTTACAGGATGTTACAGGCAGTAGGACAAACCCCATCGGAGGATTTCAACCAAACATCGGTCAGTCGTCTTGATCCTTTGCGCCTGCTCGATCAACGCTGTCCCAGGGCTTGAGGACCCCAACTCCAAAGTCACCGTCCATGACGGAGACCGAAGGAAACCGCACACGCCTGCGGACAGTGGGCCCCCACTCCGCTGGGGACGGAGATTCTGCAGAAATGGAGAATTCGGTGGGGAGAAAAAGAACTTGTGGAGAAGTCGGTCACCAGGAGCAAGTAGCTACTAGGGGCTCCTGGCCTTACTACTAGGAGCAAGAAGCTACTTAGGGTCTCCTGGCCTTACCAAGAGCAATAAGCTGGAGCCCCTTCTGGAGCCCTGGTACCAACAGGGCAAAAGACCTTCCAGATCAACCACGGCCTGGTAGGACCGACACCAAACCAAGCCAGATCCATATAGGTCCATTGACCCTGGATCGCCTGGGCCCTCCCCCGCTCCACTCCGGTCCGCCGCCTCCGCGGGCGTTGGGGGCACCTCCGCTTCAAAACCACATCCCGACGCTGGCTGAGCCAAGACGCGGCAGACGTGGTAGACGACGTGTGGCGAGAAAGCACACAGCCCGGGTGAGTGAACTCACTCACTCACGAGGCACCCACAGAAGATGGGGAAAGCTGCAAAGAATCTTGAGAGCGAAGAGTCCAAGAACAACAAATAGGACTTGGAAAGTGCGTGTTGATAAAGGATACAAGAAGTTGAATGCTCCAGCCCCTTGTCCGTCATGAGACATGCCCTCCAAAACATCCCAAAAAGCCAAGACCCACCCTGATTTTTCAGCACCCTCATTTCCCTCCTTCGGTTCGGTCTTGGGAGTCCGAAACACCTCGGTTCGGTTCGGTTGAGGTCGGAAGTCGAACACGGTGTCGACGAGCATCGGGTCGTCTCACCGCCCCAACGTCTACGCAGGTCGGCACGCGCGGCGCTTCCGCGCTTCCGCGTAGGTAGGCCGGGTGGCCGGGTGTCCGGAGCGGCCCCACAGTTTTGGGTGGCAACACCTTTTGGAGGTACCGCGAGCTACACACGAACACGAGGAACCGCAGGAGCTCATGGAAACGGTTGCACCACTCCTGTTCTTAAAGGAAAACATGAGTCCTTTTGGAGTCCAGATCCACTTCTAAGGAGTCTTGCAGTGTACACACATTGGAGTCTTGCAGTGTACACTACACATTTCTGGTCTCTTCCGTGAGTTCTGCCGAAATCCACCAGTTGAACCGGCTGAACTCCAGCCGGCTGAACCAGTTGGTCGACCCCCAAACCCAAGCACTGACTCCATCACGCAGATTCATTTAAAGAAACGTGACCTCTGTTCTCCAAGAATCAATGAACTTAGGAAAACTTGAATAAAGTGAAGTCTGAAACTGGAGAAGAAGACTATATGAATCTATAGTGTCTTCAAGTCTGTTCACCATTCTTATATCTATAAAACATAGGAGGTTTTGATCAGTATTGCAACACACCGTGATTTCCGACCCACCCATGGTCAGCCTTCCCCTGCTGCCGTTCAGCAGCGCAGCGCTTCAGGAGAAAACACTTTTTTCGCAGCACCGCTCAGCTCATCTCCTTGAAGGTTTGCCCCTGAAACGGACGTTCGTCGGGTTCCAGTGGGATTGACTTCCGACTGTGAGAAGAGCATAAGGGTTAAAAGGCCGAAGCAACGGCCTGGCCGGTAATGCACCGTAATACCATGCATGGAACCAACTGCACATCTGCAATCGGCTCAACAAAACGTAGAAAACATCATAACACATCTCTGTCTACTATATACATTCAGAAGATCTCCAGTGACAAAGCCCGCTGAAAGGCCTTGTGTGCTCATACATAGATCCACCATGAGCAACCTTTACCTTTCATCTTCGTCCCTGAACCACCCATCTCAACCTGCAAACATCTACTCACTCCAGCGAACCACCCATCTCTCCCCACTTCACGTCCCCCCAAACCTCCAAACCCTGTGGCCCACACCCCAGCTCGTCGGCCCAGCTCGTCGCACCTGGAAGTCACTGGCCTCATAGCGGCAGGAGGGCCGCTGAATCACCTGAAAGAGGCCACATGCCAGCACCGCTGTGGCAACCTGGGCACCCACGACTTCTTGGACCCTCCCACCCTCCCAAAGAGAACAAATGAAGAAAGCACCAGAGAGGAAGAAGGCGGCCTGAAGGGCCTGGCATGCTACGTTTTCGTCCTTTTGGGACATGTTGGTGATTGTTGCAGCTTTCAGTTTGGGGACGTGTTTTTGGGGGTTGGACATGGTTCGGAGGAGTTTGGGGTTCCAACGAGTCTGAGGAGTATGGAGAGAATGAGAAGTTTGGATCTGAGCTGACCGGGTCAGCCCTGTTTTACCGGTCCTTTCAGCTGACGGAACTGATCAACCCGTCACCCATGATGATTTTGGTTGGGGTCCCTGATTGACCCCTGTTTTGGAGCCAAAGCATGGTCTTTTCATCTCAAAACAAAGGTCAAACGGGTTCTATAGGTATATCGACATGATTACACATGCAAGTTGTTGTTTTGTTGTTTTCTCCAGAGTTTTGAGACCTTGTAATTGCACTGTTATGCATTCTTCTATAGTGTTCAGTCAAACTGTTGTTTGATTACATTTGGCTGGGTCTCGGGTCGAGTTAGACCCAAATGATTTCAATAACAAATCAGCTTGGGTTGCTCTTGGTCAGAGCAACCTGAGCTAAAAAAGAATGACCTGCACTTCTCCAAGCGAATGCAACTCAGTGCAAACATCCAGCCAGTCCAGCAACAACCCCCGAGTCGCCGAGGTGCATGCCAGGCGGAATGTGCAACTGCTTTGGCCCCGCCCATTCCCACCTGCCATCGCATCGTCTGATTCACTCTGGCCAATTCCGGATTGCACAAGGCAATGCATGTCATGCGGTTCTCAGAGCTTTGGAGTGGCCCTTAGTACATGGAAGTACCATGGAACATTGCATCTCCTGGTCATTCGCCGTTCGCGTTTTCCGTTCGTCTTGGTGCGTGTGAGCCGTGTCAGTGTGTTTCTGGTGAGTAGTCCAGCAGAGAGCTTGAGTAGTCCGCGCAGTTCCGTACAGGCACTGGGCTCCGAAGCTCCGAATTCTCCCTCGTGAGCAGTCTCCTCAAATGCCTTTAGAAATAGATTGAAGGGTTTGAGTAAGGTCCGATGTCCATCAAGTTCTTGTAAGTCCCAATTAGAGTTGGTAAAATAGACTCTTTTGAACCCTAGCTGCCCGGCTCTTTGTCGACCAAGATGCAGCAAAAGGAGATCTTGGACCTGAGGACCTGAAGATTCTGTTGGAAATGAACCACGTAACGTACCGATGAAAAAATCATCATCACTATCGGGACCAATATCCTGCACCACATTCACTGGAAGTTGACAACCATGGAAGACTATAATTTCCTGTACAAGGCAGCTTTGAGATTCTGTGATGTTTTCTTTTTTTGTCTACAGCATTGGTCATTGACACAGACTTGGCAACATGTACCTTTGTGAAGATCCGTTTCCTGCCAATTCCTCTGCAAAGGGCCTTCTCCTATGTCCATGGAAGTTAAATGAAATTAATGACCAACGTGAGGATACAGGATTGTTCCTTGATATAGTCAACACATGTTAACACAATATATGTCCAAACTGTTGAAAGGACCCTTAGGAATGATCATATATGAACCTAATTATGCCTGGCTTTGCCTTGCTCTGGTCATTGGCGACACGCTGCATCGCCACAAACATCATGAGACTGAGGATCACCTGAATGGTCGCTGTCTTCGCAAACCGCGTCGCCAGCGGTTCCCGTCGAACCCCGTCTCCACCGGTCTCTAGAGCTACCGCGAAACGGCCGCGTCGCGGCTCGTCCGAAGCAGGTGCCCTGATAAGCCCTAGGGTGGTTGAAGGTGGTTGAAGCAACATGCACTTAAGAATACCAGGAGTCACGTTTGTTTGCGGGGTGGGCTTTAGTCTCATCTAGTGAGTGGATGTGACAGGGGCACCCCGACTTCCTCCAAGTTCGGCACCCCTCCCCTTTGTGACTCCTGGTATTTGTAAGTTCTTGTCTCTGATCATCTCTGGCAGTTGTGAGACATCCCTGACGGTCCACGCTTCCGTAAAAACATTTGAAGGTCCACCGGTCCAGTGGGCACCCGCGCGTTGCATGGTCATTGTTTAAAAAGACCTATAAGGGGCCTAAGCCATTGGTGTTTTTTGCTCTCCCAAAAAGCTGGCACGGTGTCCAATACCTGTTGAAAGGGGGTTTGTCCACTTCTCTAGCTATTTCGAGGGACCGTCCACACACAAGGGACCGTCGACGTGGCGCCCCGCGTTGCGGCCGTGGACGTCCATGTCACGGTTGACTTCACCAGCACGACGCAGAAAGAAAACCAAGGGGGAGCACGACGCAAACACTGGAGGAGGTATGGAGGATGTATTCTACAAATGCTGTATGGAGGATGTAGGCTATATCTATATCATTCTATATCTACTTGACCTATAATCACTTGTGTGGCTCGCCTGGCTCGGGCTTGCTGGAATCGTGTGAAGACAGACCTGTCTTCTCGCCTGTGCCTCGCATCTCGTTCTTTCATGTTTACCCAATCTCCAAGACAGCCCCAAGTGGCCTGTGTTGAGTGGGTGGTGTTGCAATACTAATCTGGCACATGGCACATGCTAGATCGAAGCAATCCATGGATCATCTGAAGTGGTCTAATTAGATTGGTCTATAGCTGTGTGACATCGAAAAAAAGATTCGGAACCTGCTGTGCAACCCTGTATAACCCCAAAAAGTCTCCTCATGCAACGCCCAGCTCCCCCTCTTGTGCTGCCATATGGCTGAAGCGGAGCAAAGGGCGAGGCGCAACCTCAAAGATGGGGTCTGGGCCAGGGCGATGGGAGGAGCGAAAAGCTGCACCACTAATTAGGATGTGGCAAAAATGTTGGTTTCCACGGTGTCCCTAGGCCTCCAAATGCCTCCAAGTACCTTCTGAGAAGGTGGGACTGGGGTGGGTGCCAGGAGGATCTAAATACCTTCTGAGGAGGTACGACTGGAGGTGTAGGGTGTGTGTTCCACGGTGTGTATGGGCTCTTGTGCTTCCAACGTTCCTGGCGAATACGGAGCGGTCGGGCGCTTCCGGTGGCCAGACAGATCAAAAGCAGTTGGTTGGACACTGTAACCTAGTTGCATATGGAGAACTCATGTCCTCCTCATTGGGGAAATGTGGGCTTTCAAAAACATGAACATGGCCACATCTGCTAGCATTAGCTTAGTAAGGCAATGTTCGATGTCACATCTGCGTTCGTATTGCAATGGTGCTCATGCGCAAAGCTGTGAGGGAAGCAGCTTACATCTGGGCCTTTTTTTCAGCTAAGGTGACGAGGGGCCGTTGTGCGGCGCAGTCTTTCAACGAAGCCTGACGCAGAAACATACCTGGACCTTCCTGTCTGGGTGTGTCGATCTCTCAGTAGTGTGAGCTTCCAGCCAGATGACCCCTTGGAGGGTGCTGGCACAAATTCTTAGTGTTTCATCCGGGGTGAAGCATCCTTTTGGTCCTTTTTGGTCAAATCGAAGATCCCAACGGCCCTTGGCCGAGAAGCTTCGCCAAAGTCCGCCACCGGGTGAACCCCAAGAGCCACGTCCGCGTCTACGCGAGAGCCCGCCGCGCGCTCCGAGTCGCGGCGTGCGGGGAACTCTCGGGTGTTTGGGTGTTTTCTTGGCCCCAGGAGCCAGGACTGCTTCAAGAAGAGCGCTTGGGCAGCTGCACCAGGCCGGAAGAGCCAAAAGGTACCTCGAGTCGCTCGGACACGTTCTCTTCTCGCGACTCGTCGCTCGATCCGCGAGAAACGCCGATCGGAGACGGTCGAACCTGACGTCTGAAGCGACGTGACGTCGCGGCCCGGTGGAGACGGGTCTCAGGTTCGGTGGAGACATGTCGGGCCTAACAAGCAACGAACTTCCGGGAGTCCGGTTTGACTGGTGTTGCAGTGAACCACCCCACGAGGCTGTTCGGTCTGATTGGAGGTCTCACAGTCAAGACCTTGATTTCTGTTTGTGAAGTAGTTCTTCATGGGTTCTATGATCTATGATCAAAAAGTGACCCCAAAACAGATTCCTCAGCAAAATCGAATTGGGTGAACTGTTCTCGATGATTCAGTCGCACACCTTGCTGATATTTTTCTCAGACTCAGTGAGGGAACCGGTTCGAATTCTAATGGAATCCATGGATACCAATGGAGCAATCTAGTTGTAAAAGTTACTAAAGAATTGATTGAGTTTGCCCACATTACTCCGCATTGACTTCTCACAACAGCCACTGGTTTGTTTGTGTCTGAAGAAATTGCAACATGATCAACCAACATACCAACGTTGACAATACTGAGGGCCGTCTAGTGTTCTGCAAGCAAAACTTATTCAAACCATCAAAATACATTAATTTATGTATCACATGCGCTGTTTATATCACGTCTGAACGTCCCAACAAAAGCACGCCAAGGCGCTCTGAGCAAAGAGAAATAGAAGACCTCGGTGATTGGATGATGTAGACGGAGCGATTTAAATACAGGAGAAATCAATTCATTCAAGTCAGTCTTCGTGCTTTACGTGCAATCTTTCAGTACATTTGCAAGGATTCCCACCTTTCTGCAGCATCCAAAGAACATATATTTGATTGATGATAGCCATAACTGCATGTTGGGAGCGCACGCTACATCAGTGTTGGAAGCTGGGTCTGTCAGATTGCTTTCATTTCGGTTCAGAAGAAGACATCGAAAGGCAGCTGTAAGCCAGAAGCATGCACAAAAGACCAAGACCATGGCTAACTGCTTTCTAGCATGCAGCACTATTTGCTAAGCTAAGCTAGACCATCTTTCGTCCAAGCTAAGCTAGAAGCTCCGAGCCAAAGACCACTAGGGCTGTCACGACTGTCACCTACGCAGCAACCATACAGACGAACACATGCAACGTCGTGTCCTGGAGCGCAACTGCAGTGAATATCACCCAGACCTAGACCTTTCATTCGGCCTTTGAAGAGATCTCTAGAGACAAGTTTCACCTCAATGATCACCCGTTTTGGTAATCAAGACCGAAGCAACCCCAAATCAAAAACAACCTGATGTGCTTAAACTTCCATCTTCAAAAACCGTCGTTGCCAACGCCAGGACACCAGGATCCTGCACGTGTTGTTCACCTTAAACCTCCGCCCAAAGCTCCACCGGCAACGGCCCCCATCTGAGTTTTCCTTGGGATCTGAAAACCCAACCTGGGTACATCTGGGAGCAGCTACCAGCAGCTATAGACTCTTCACTCCATTTTCCAGAGATGCCCCCAAAGATTGCCAGCAAAAGGATGCAGAGTGCAGAACGGACAGCGCAGCGGCCAGGTGTGGTGTTTGATCCGCATAACACAAATTGCTGTCAAGATGCAACAAAGACCTCCCAGTAGCAAGTGAAAGATCGGGCTTCCTGGGCTCGGGCGCAGCACAACACGCCAGTTCTTCAAACAAATGCAGGCTTATAGTGTCAAATAGTGTCGGAGCGCCAGAACCATCAAGAGCCCTCATGCTGACTCAGTGAAACTTTCTAGGAATTTGGTTCGCCCCTGGCCCCTGGGAGAGGCGACATTTCATGGGACAAGATGGTGAAAGTATCCGCCGACCCCGGCCTATAGCCAAAGCCTAGGCGGGGAGGCGCCTGGGACACCGCAGGGTGAAGCAGTTGGCCAAGCCTAGCAGAACCCTTCCAAGCACTTCCAAAGGCCTGTCCGAGGCCTCGCCAGCTGGCAGGCCTGCTGCGGCCTCTCTGTGGCCTGTCCAAGGCCTGCCTCCTCTCTCGGCAGCTGGCAGGCCTGTTGCGGCCTCTCTGTGGCCTGTCCGAAGCCTGCCTCCTCTCTTCTTATGGGCTTCCGAAGGCGACGTTAGGCATTTTGGACCGCCTTCAAAC